TTCCACATGTTAACCAAGATATCAGAGAGAAGTATCTAAACAAAATGGTTGAGCAAAATAAATCTACTGATTTGTTTTACAGAAGCAGATTTATGATAGTGATTCAAGTCTACATCATCTCCATCATCAACAACAGAAAGGGGCTATCATTAAGGAACACAAACTTAATTTAGATTATGGCAGGAAACAGCAAGCCTGGAAGAATTTCACTTTTGTAGGTTGCAAAAATTTAGCAACATGTATGAAAAATAAAGAGACCTAGAAAAAGAAATCAAAACCATCCAAGAACAATCAGGATTCTCTTTCATAAAATATCTGAACACACAGCCACATACTACAATTATAAGCCTCAAAATATCATTGAGGACTCAATACACTGTACCAGATCTTAGACAAAATCGTTGCCCACAATCTGTTTGACATAACATGAATAAATTCGTAAGTTTTTTTAATGGTTGTTGCCATAACCAATTGATATGATCTTAATATTATTTGGGATAAAAAACTTTCAAAATACAAAGACCTAGAAGAATGGCTACACAGGACCAAGATGAGGTATATGTCAATCTCCAAATCTTGTCCTAGTTTGGCAGCTGATCCAAATATTCTTTCAGTGAATTTAAAAAAATGAACTTAAATCAATTTTTAAAAAAAAATTCAAATAAAAAAGCATTTCATCTACCTATGCAATATCACACATATTATTTAAAAAAAACAAACCTCTAGAAAGACAGTGCCTTTTCTCAGGAACTTTTTTTATCTTAACTCCAATGAAGATGAAATGACAATAAAACAACATTTACTAATCTATGACTTTCAATTTTATGTATCTGTTGAATGGATTTTAAGAAGTGAAGCATCTTGGAAGAGGCTGAATAGTCCAACTGTTATGAATATTAAAACTTATAAATTACCCCACCTGTTATGAATCTGCTTTAAATTTTATTTCTAAGGGTTCTTAACTTATGCAATTTTGTGGATGGCTGAGCTATGACTCAGTTCTCAGTCACAAAGACCAAGGAATTTCCATGGCTATCTAGTCTAATGACACATAATCTACATCATATCCAACAAGTTGTCATTCAGCCTTTGTCTTAATAACTACAATTAGAGAGAAACCATTTCTTACTGAAGCAGCTAGTGGCAAAATGAATAAAATTCTGGGCCTGGAGTCAAGACTTAAGTTCAAACCTGGCATCAGACACTTAACTATGTGACCCTGGGCAAATCACTTAACCTGATTTTCTCAGTTTCCCCAACTGTAGAATGATAATAGCAGCACATATCTCGCAGAGTTGTGAGGATCAAGTGAAGTAATTGTAAAGTACTTGGCACAGTGGCACATAGTAGGCTCTATATAAATGCTTATTCCCTCCCCTTCCCCAACTGAGGGAACTCATTCTATTTGCAGAACTTGTAGGATTGTTATTCAAAGTTTTACAACCCTAATTCAACTATACCATTAAAATAATATAGACTAAAAGAAGCACTATGGTGTTATGGATTTTCCACAAGCATCAGATTTGGAATCACATGACTTTAGATTCAGACCTTGGCTCTGCAATATTACTTAGTGACTTTGGACAAGTCATTTGTCTCTCTAGGCCGCAGGCACAGTGGATATAGCACTAAAGTCAGGAGTACCTTTTTTCTACTCAAGCCTCAGACATTTACAAGTCATACTACCCTAAGCAAGTCATTTAACCTGCTTGCCTCAGTTTCTTCAATTGTAAAATGGGAGTAATAAGCACCTACCTCGAAGAGTTGTTGTGAGAATGTAATGAGAAAATATTTATAAAATGCTTGGCATAGTGGCACATAGTAGACTCTATATAAATGCTTATTACCTTTCCCTTCCCTCTTAATCTCTAATGTCTATGCTAAGTATATACTCATTAATAACAATTAAAGATTTAAAATTCTCAATATTTTCCAAAAGTTCATTCATCAATTGGTTGACACTCAAAATTCATATAAATAAATTTTATGTTCCTAGAAAAGTCTACAAAATACTATAACGATGATGATGCTGATAATACTTTAAGGTTTACTAAGTATTTTGTATACAATGTCATATTTAAAGTTTATCATTGGTAAAATTAAATTGCAGTAATAGGATTTTCAAAACTAGACACCAAGTATAATGTGATACTTATAAGAGAAAATTAATTGAATTCCATCTTAGAATGCCAGAAACTTCTCCCTAAAAAGTGACTCTTTTCCTAATCTTTCCAACTTGTGAAACAGTGAAGTGAATCTTGTCTAGCTCTAGGATACCAGAGTAACTTTCATAGTTTGGAACAACAGTTCCCAAAAGCATAGGGGTCAGACAAGAGGACAAATGGTTAAGATGAAAGCTGTGGGACTGGTGCCTGCTACTAGCACAAAATCCTTGAGCACATTTCTCAATTCCAGCCAGCTCCCTATCACCTTCTTATTGTCTGTATCCCCAAGGAATTCTAGAACCTGCTTTACCTTTCAGGTGTCATCAACTGCTACTTCCCCAAAACAGTCTCCTCTCCTTGCTCACAATTAAAAAAAATGTTCATAGCTTTCTATCCGTATCTTTCTATCTTTGAAAAACTATTCATACAGAACAAAAAATGATTAGAATACCTGACTTCTGAAGCTATCGTTCTTTTCTCTATGAAAACTCAACTCAAGGAAGAATAAACTCCCTGACCCTATTTCCTTAATATATCCTCACTCTTCAATGACAGGCAACTGAGCTTCTAGAAATCCAGTAACATCTAATGAAACCACTTTCTTCAATGTTATAATTTCCTTATATGCCAAGTAACAGGATCATAGATTTAGAGCTGAAATAGACATTAGAGATCATCTAGTCCAATCCCCCCATAAGATGAGGAACTGGGTCCCACAGAAGACAAGTGCCTTGCGTACTATCACAAAGAAAGTAACAAAGGTGGGATTCAAACCCAGACTCTAAATTCAGTGCTTTTTTTAGTGGCACAACAACTACACCGCCTCACCAATCAATGTCTCTTTTCATTCTTCATTCTTATTTTACTTGTAGCATTTTACCACCTCCTCCTTGACTCTTTCTAACAGATTTCATGACACTAATTTCACATCTCAAAATCTCAGAGTTGGAAGATACAACCTCAGAGGTTATATTCCAAAAATGTATGAACTGTACTGTATGTGGTATAAGCAGTGAAGGAGAGTTTAGATGGTTGAATAACTTAATAGGGAGAAACCTTAATACAATCTTTGACTGTCTCATTAAGATGTAGTAATTCATACAAAGATTCCCTTTTTAATTAAGAAGAGTTGTGACAAGTTACATTTTTATATATTGAATGTAACATGATCAATTTCCACAACCTTAAATTTGTTAAGTTTAAAGTGGGAATGTGCTAGAAAAAATTTTTTCACAGGCTTCCTTATCTTTTAGTTCCCACATCTGCAACTAGGGTTTCTCAAAAATTACTTTAATTCTTCTCACCTCAAATATTGAATGGTTCTAGTACCTCTACTTCATAGCTTACACAACTATACAGAGCTAATTTGTCTCTTTTACCATGATTTATAGAACAAAAGGCTAAAATTTTGAGCACAATTAAACCGGTCTTAGTATCACAAGTGCCTTATAAAAATAATAACTGCAGCTAGATTTTACATAATACTATGTGCCAGGTACTGCATTAAGACCTTTACAAATATGTCATTTGAGCCTTACAACAACCCTAAATAAGAAAATGAAGGCAAACAGAGGTTAAGTGATTTGCCCACAGTCATGTAGCTAGAAAGTATCTGAGGATAAATTTGAATTCAAGCCTTCCTGACTCTAGGCCCAGTACACTATAAATTGAACCATCTAACTCCCCACAAAAACAGCTGAATTAATATTAAAAATATTAAAATTTCATTAAAATTCACAAGCTCGTATTTCCACAAAAAACTCTTTAAAAATTCTTAAAACATATATTCTTTGAAGAAATATCTGCTATTCTGTCATTGTAGGGATTACGTCAAAGAACAAATGTTTTAAAATGTTTTTATATCCTTTCACGTGAACTAAGTTTGAAATACTTTTATATTCCTTCACATACATTAAATACATTTGATGACCAAATTGTACCATTTTTAAGCTTAGAAATTCTTAAATTGGCTAATGATTACTTCTAAGGGTTATTTTAAGGCAGATTGTCCAAATTTTTTATTTTTAGGCAATTGGGGTTAAGTGACTTGCCCAGGGTCACACAGTTAGTGTCAAGTGTTTGGTCTGAGGATTGATTTGAACTCAGGTGCTCCTGATTTCAGGGCCGGTGCTCTATCCACAGATTGTTCAAATTTTTAACCACAAATTTTGTGCCTATTCAAAGTCTTCTTGAAAAGAAGTCTGTGAATTTCTGGATTAATCCAAAAGTCATATACCATCTTCACACTTAAATATGTTCACAAATCAATATTTGATCATCTGCACTGGGAAAAGATTTATTTGCTTTGCAGTTCAGTGATATAGTTTGTAGTGATTTCTTAAGAACTTACATATTGCACATTCAAGCATTCACAAACAAAATCAACTCCTTACAAGAAAAAAAAACATTTTACCACCTTTCCATTCCATCTTTCTTTAGACAAAAAATTTGCCTAAATGTAAGAAAAAAAAACTTCCTATCTACAAAACTGAAAGGGTGGCAAGACAGAATTAGGAACTAAGCAAGACAAAAAGATTTTTTTTCCCAACTATTCCTAATTAATTGTAAATCATTTCTTCAAAATGTGTCTTCCTTATTTGGTATGACATAAATGTCTAAAACAAACATGTAGCCGAAAGAAAGAAAAATGAAATTAAAAAGTTAAATCAAAAAATCTCTTTATTAACTGCCATTTCAAACCATCCACATTTCTACTCCCCAAAGTTCATATAAATATATTTGAGGCATAGTGGTGTTAAGCTTCTCAATAGTGTTATCTCCCTACAACAAGAAGTCAAACCGAGAAGATGATGCAATAGACAAGTTGCTACTTACATCGGGGTATTCTTTTACAGGCACGTAGAGTTTCTCTTGTAACTGAACAATAGGTCCCACAGCATCAGGGAGCTCTGCACTCCTTTTCTCTGTACTCCCATTTAAAGTGTCATTATACATGTCTTTTCGTACTCTGCTAATTTCTGTTAAGGGTAAAAAAAAAAAAAAAAAAATTTATCAGCTACCAGAATATTTGCTAGTACAAGAAAAATGTATTTTTAATTTTTTAAATGAATTTAATCATTGTCAACAATACAACCAATGCAGCATAAAGACTTCTTTAAGGATAATATATCAACTTGTTATGTATAATTTGTATTTTTTATTAAAAATATTAAATTTCACAAGGTAGTAATAAAAATCATGCTGTTAGCAGTTGCCTTCTGAACTTTTTTTCCTCTTTTTTTGTCCTTCTTTACTTACTCACTAATTCACCCTTCCTCTTCCCACCCCATAGATGCTTCCTTTTAATAAACAAATCCAATCAAGTAAAACCAATCAACACATAGGACAAGTCTGGAAAGGCTGCTCTCATTCCGCACCTCAAGTACTGATATAGGCTTCCACTAACAGTCTTCCTCTTCTTTAGTCTTTCAGAGTTGTTAGAATGTAAAAATTATTGACAATACCTGACCTCAGCAAAATTTCAACAAATAGAGTAGCCTTTTGGGAAATCAGAAATTAAGCCAATCAGCTGGTGAGGAGGGGTGGGGAGGGTTTATCTTATTCAATAGCACCATACTCAGAACATGTTTTAAATGGAATAACAATATCAAGTTTGTATAGGCAAAACTAGTAATAAATTGTTTTAATAAGACCCTTGAGATCCATGCAATGGGGACAGGATTATAAATGAGTCTACCTCATTACAAGGCCCTTATGGTACTTCTATAACTAAATCAGTTTATGTGATATCGAAGTTGGTTCTGTTTTGTGAAATTCTATCATACAGGTATGAGTGAGTGTGTGTGCAATGGGGTGAGCACAAAGAAATCCATTTAGTGAATATCTTCAAGAGTAGTTCTGTATGAAATTATTATCTACACATCCCAGAATAGAGAAGGACAGCATATGTAGAAATAACACTGGATTACAAATTAGAATACCTGGGTACCAGTCATTTCTACTTTACTACTTTAAGCAAATAATTCACCTCCCTTGGCCTTAGTTTTCTAATCTAGCAAAGGTAAAACTTAAGTTAAATGATCTGTTTCCAGATCTCATAAAAACACTACTTGATTAATCTAGTTATTCAACAAATTAAAAATTATAAGATAAAATAGTCCCTTCCCAAATCCTTCCCAAAGAAGATACTAGGAGAAACCAATCAGAGACAGGGGTCAGAAGGGTACTTTCAGTTAAAGAAGCCCAGGGAGTAAAGGGAGCTTCCAGGGTGAAAAGAACTTCTAACATGAAGGTTAAATCTAGTCAGGAGTACAACCTTGGAGACAAAAGTGAACTCTGACTTGCCCTTAGACACAACCACAACCCCTTTCTTTTCAAGTTTCACATTCCCCCAAACTTAGGGAAATCAGTCTTTTCATACTCAGACTTCTCTCATCCTGGTTTCCCAATAAGATTCCTTTTGGCTTCACTTGCCTCCCCTATCTAGCCTGAGGATGTTAACATTATAAAGGCTTCTCAACCCTCTACTACGCAAATCTATACTCCATCAATCAGTAACACCAGGTAACCCCTACCATCTATTTGCCTCACTCTCAGACCTTATTAGAGAAAGTCAGAAGATGATGCAGACAGTGATAAAAATTCGTAACATCTAATCTTGTCTGAGTCTTTAACGTTGATTGTCTATCCTTTTATTTTACTGTTATTTCTGTATATTACATACATGATTGTCCCAAAACTTCTCCACATTCATAAAGACTTCACATTAAATCTCAACAGGGAGTACCAACTCTTCTTGGATTAAGATCAAGGCCATCCAATTCAAATTCTCAAACTGCACTCCACATAAAATCATCTGCTGCTGTCTTTTAAAAAATCCATCCATTTTACAATCAAGGAAATTGAGGCAGATAGAGGTTAAGTGACTTGGCTAAGGTTACACAACTAAGAATTGTCTAAATCAGCATCTGAATTCAAGTCTGTCTTTCTCCAGGTTCAGTACTCTATCCACTAAACCACCTAGCTCCAATTCCTTTTGTCTATAGTTGGCAAGGCATAAGGTAAAGTAGGGGTAAAAAAGCTGGATCCAAAACGTAAATCTGGGTGCCAATGATGCAAAAGACAATTTACCTCTGTGGGTCTCAGTTTCCTCATATAAAAATTTAGGTATAATAAAACCTATACTGGTTAGTGCACATGGTTTTATTAACAATAGAACTGTGTACCTGAGAGAGACAGAGAGAGAGAGAGAAAAGCAAGGTAAAGAAACAATGGTATTCATTACCCAATGTATGGATTTATGCGAGAACAGACATAAGTTTAATCATTCACCAAATTTATTGAACAACTACTATGTAATCAGAGATTAGATGATGTAAGGATAACAAAATAAAGATAAAGCTCCCCCTCAAAGAGCATTATGTTCTAGTGACTCTGAATCATGGCATATCAGTCTATCAGAACTTTTCATTTTAATACCTGAATATTTTCAGTATACTTTGTTCTATCAACTCATAACTATCAACTCTTCTACTTCTTAGTATATAAATTCCTTTGAAAGATTATGTCTCCAAAAAATGCATCCACTGGGCATACCGTCCATAATAAAGCCTGTACTGAAAGCCTCTTCTCAACAGCTTGGTAGGACCTGGCAGAGAACTGTTTTGGCCTTTGAGAACAAGATGATTTCCACACTATGAAGAATCAGGATCTAAAAAACATATGAATGAGAACAGCCAAAGCTTCCCCCATTCCCGATCTGGACACATATGGTTTATAATCTTCAATCAAGGTGGTATCACAATCTATTATTTTACCCCAGAGGATGGCAAGCTCTATGCTCATTATCCCTCAGCTCACATAGCAGAAGCAATTGACAAACCCTTGTCATTTCAATCTCCACATTCTTCAGAGTCTTCCTCACACAGACACCACTTTAATTCAGTTCTTCATCATAGCTCTCCTGTCTTCCTATTTTATCTCCCCTGCCTCAGTCTTTTCATAACTAATCAATCCATTCCAGTCTGAATCCCACAAAGGAATAACCAGGGCAGGAATCACAAACCAAAGGGAAGCCTATATATTTGTCACATTTAACCAACAGAACTTTCCAGATGGCTCCAAGTGCCAAGTGCAACTGTAGTCTACTGAAACAGGTACACAGGGATGGTGCTGCATAGATCCAAGCCCAGGTTAGGGTTCAAATCATAAGAGCAACAATCAAACTTTGCCCTGATTCACACCACTTTGGGAGCACTAAAAGTTTACAAGTCACCAGTTTGAGCTGTCCCTTAGATATGGAAAGAATACATCCCTGAATAGCTCCAAAAAACAACAGAAGATCAATGTGCACATTCTGCCCAGTGTGCAGACTGGCCCTAAGATCAAACCCACAGTCAGGAAGCAGGCTGAAAAAATGAGGGTGGAAAAAAATCTAAACTAAAAAGCTACCTCGGAGACAAGAATTTTTAAAAAAAAATTTGGGGGTGGTGGTGAAAACACTAAATAATGAAAGAAAGAAAGAAAGAAAGAAAGAAAGAAAGAAAGAAAGAAAGAAAGAAAGAAAGAAAGAAAGAAAGAAAGAAAGAAAGAAAGAAAGAAAGAAAGAAAGAAAGAAGAGCTATGGAAGAACCAACTGGAAAGATACCAGCTTGGAACAAAGAGTATGAAATCTTACCCAAGAAACAAATTTCCTGAAAATTAAAATGGACTGGGGTAAAAAAAAAAAGATGATCACTACATGAGACAACAAAAAAAGCTTGAAAATTAGAAGAAAATATAAGATATCTCATAGTAAAAACAACTGATCTAGAAAACAAATCAATGAGAAAAAAATTTAAGAATCACTGGAAAACCTGAAAGGTATGACAGAAAAACACCACAAAACAAAAAACCTGGAAATCATATTTCAAAAAATGTTAAAAGAAACAAGCCTAGCTCTCTTAGAATCAAAAGGCAGAGAGAATAAAGAAAGAATCCATTGGTCACTTCCTGAAATAAAACCCAAAATGAAAACTTCCAGGAATATTAGAGCCAAAATCCAGAGCTTACAGGTTAAATAAATATTACAAGCAGTCAGAAAGAAAAGAATACACGTACCAAGGAAACAGAGTCAGAATCATAAAAGATTTAGCAGCCACCACTATAAAGGAGTAGAAAGCTTGGAATATGATATTCCAGAAGGCAAAGGATAAAGGTTTATAGCCAAGATAAACTTAACCAGCAAAACTGAGTATAATCTCACAGGGGAAAACTGGACCTTTAATAAAACTGAACACTTCCAAGCATTCCAGATGAAAAGATCAGAGCTGCATAGAAATTCTGAAGTGTGAACACAAGAGTCAAGAAAAACATAAAAAGGAAAATAAATGCAAATAATCACAAGGGACTAAACAAGGATAAAGTGTTTACATCCTAATATGGAAAGATAATACCTGTGCCCCCTCTGACCTCTATCATCTTCTGGGCTCATAGAGGGACAGTAATTAGACAGAAGGCCTGGTAGTTATTCTGTTATGTCTTGCTGATCTTATAAAAAGAATGAGAAAAAAGTAGAAGAGGAATATACTATGGTGAGGAAGATTAGGGAGAATTTTCACACGTAATCAGGTTGCACATGTAAAAGTTTGTACTAATAAGGACAAAGACAGCAGAAGCTGACATTTGAACCTCACTTTCATATGAATTGGCCAAAAGAGGGAAGAATATATACAAAGAGTTGAGTACAGAAATACAGTTAACTCAATGGATAAATAGGAGGAAAAGAGAGATGCATAGATTAATGGGAGGTTAAGTTAAAGGAAGGATTAGTCCTAAGCATAACAACCTCTAAGGATTTCCAAAAATATTTATGACTTTTTTAGAGGTGGCAAAGAATTGTAATCTGAGGGGCACCTTTGAAGAATGGCTGAACAGACTGTGGTAATATAAATTTGGTAGAATACTACTATGCTGTAAAAAATGATGAAATGGGGGCAGCTAGGTGGCACAGTAGATAGAGCTCCAGCCTCGGAGTGAG